ACACACACACACACACACACACACACACACACATACACACACACATACACACACACATACACACACACATACACACACACACACAAACAAACAAACAACCCTCCCCACAGTGGCACCAGACATAGGAACCACCAAAGTCACGTCTGTGTGCCCTGACGAAAAAAACCTATTGTTTCACCATGGACGCCTGTACGTCTCTGTTCTCTTTGTCCCTTTTTCCACGTCTATGGCTCAGAGCGACCGACTGAGAGGGGGTGAAAATTAACATAATGAGCCCTTCATCAATAAGCGATGGAACACTGTAATTAGGGACGGAGATGCCCAAATATTGCACATACCAACAGTCCAAACACCTAAAAATAGAAACAAGAGTATTGTGAAAAGAAACTTTTAAAATAAAAATTAACCCCCCCCCCAAAAAAAAAAAACCCACCCAACCCACGAACGTAAAAACGTTCAAATGTCTAACACGTCTATGAAGACTTATTAATGTATGAGTATAGTAAGGTAAAAAGGTACAAGAAAACACAGGATCAGAGAAAAGATGGGAACAACACCTGCCCTCCACATCTCTGGACATCTCTGACATGTATGGCACCTCACCAGCTTTCCAGTAAAGCCTACTACAGAAAATATCAGGGCACAAGGCAAGAGGAAGACCAAACGAAGACCCGGATCAAGGCTGTGAATGATATGATATACTGAAAACATACACCATTCATCGAAACCAAGACAAAGGACCAAGCTTTTACTTTTAGACGAAACCAATCATTACTCCATAAGCCGAGAAATTGAAGAGCGCCTGATTCCACCTCGTCGTGACACATTTCATTCAGCAGGGTTTGTTTTGTGCGGAGAATTTGACACACCTCTTGTGGTCTAGAGGTTGAGGTGTTTGCCTCTCATTCAAAGTTCCCAGTTTCGAAGCAGGGTGCGACGGAAAAATTTTCTTCTCTGAAATTGTCTCCTTTCACCTCCTTTCCTGCTCTCCAACAATGTTCTGTCGTCTGCTTTCGTCTCCACTTTCTGCCCCCACCCCCTCACCTCCTTTGCCCCCTTCTCAGGGCCCCTGTCTCTTTCTGCAACCTTTCTACTGCTACTCAGTCTTTGGCTCCTTCTTACTGCTGTCTTTCAGCCACACCCCTGATCTTCTAAGGGGCTCTCGTGGCCAAGAGGTTAAGGTGTTCGCCTCTCATTCAAAGGTCCCGGGTTCGAATCCGGGTTTTCTTCTCTAATATGTGTCTCCTTTCACCTTCTTTTCTTCTCTCTTGCAATATTCTGTCGTCTGCTTTCGTCTCCACCTTCTTCCCCCACCCCCTTTGCCCCTTCCACTGGGCTCCTGACTCTTTCTGCAGCCTTTCTACTGCTACTACTTGGCCCCTCCTTACTGCTGTCTTTCAGCCATACCCTTGATCTTTTGGTAGGAAAGATCTACACCTTGCTTCTTGGACAAGGGTGAAAAATCACGGAGGTCCCGTGTGCAAGTTGCGCACGTTAAAGATAACTTGGCGGTCTAAAATCGATAAAAGTAGACCGGCCGCCACCCGGGCAAAATTCAAAATTTCCTACCAACTGAAAATGTTTGGTGTGTCCCGCGCGCTCATATGACCTTATGCAGTTGCGAACGCTGTAAAACACTTACAAAAAAACCAAAAAAAGACAGCTGGTGGAGGTGAACGTGTTATGAATAGTGTGTCAACATTCCGAACAGCAGTGCCAGTCGATCTGTGCGCGCAAGGGGGTGTTATTCCCAGATTCTTCTTCTGGAGAAACAAAAGAGAGCTTCAAAACAGCGACCGTAGTGCTATCTCTGAAGCAATGTGCGGACTTCCAGGGACATTTTTTTGACTGAGTTAACCATCTTGTTGGGTACAATCTTTGATGTTCGATGAAAATCTATTACCTGCAGAAATCGCATGGCACTACAACACTTCGAATAGCTGTGAATAGGGCAAAAACCATGGATTTTGAATGATGCATCTGATGTGAATGTACATTTTGTCAGCTTTACTTCACTTTTCATGTTGAATTTTAATGAGAGTAATAATTATATAATTTTATTTTTTAATGTATACCTGCATTTGTTTTTAAGGCCCTGTACAGCCAAGAAAAATGTCCTTCTGGGATAATAAAGTACATGTATTATCTTATCTTATCATATCTTAGTAAATAGGTCATTTACTGGCCATAGCACTTCTGTTTTAAAAAGAGAAAGTATCGAAATGCTAACTACAACAATATCGACTACAAGGGAAACGTGTTGGTTGACTGAATATTTCGTAACGAAATCAAAATCAGCCTGAGGGGAGGAGGGTGGTAGGTATAGCAGCAAAGAACGGCGTACTGCAACGTTCCTCATTATTGCCCACGTTTTGGCCTGCGGCGAGTTGTAGTTATAATATTGACAAGCAGACGATGTGTCCATCTACACAGCTTACTACGCAACAGGGAACTCTACGCTTCACATGATTGGTGTTTACGCAACCAGAAAGCTAGAAACTACACAGCAGGCTGTATTATGCTTACACATGTGGCTATATTATGCTCATAAAGTAGGCTATATCATGCTTACACATTTGGCGGCTGTATATGCTTAGGCCTTACACATTTGGCCATATTATTTATAATGCTCACACAGTAGGCAATATTATCCTTTCACAGT